ATATAATAATAATATCGAGTAAAATTAAAAAATTATAATTATGATATAATATTAAATAAATATATTTGAATAAAAAAATTAATTAGATAACAATATATCACAATATAAACTCATAATGTCACATAACATTTAGAATTATAGTATTTTTATTTTTAAATAATATAATTCACTTCTTTTTAGATATTCTCATTATATAAAACATGAATATTAGACGCTCTCACCACTCATGCTCTTACTACACGATTTTTTTTTTTTTTGAACAGGTTTTACAAGGGGTTAGGTCGAACACAACCTGGGAAGGAAGAAAGTGCACCGTGAGTGGCTGTTGCCACTTGAGCGAAAGGGCTCGGTGCGCTCTTACTACACGATTGGTTATCGTTATTTGCAAGAAACTAATATAAAAGTAGCAGCTAAGATCCAATTAGGCATTTTAGTGGGCTCAAAAATTAATGTGAAAGTAGCAGCCAAAATCCAAGTAGGCATTTTAGTGGATTGTGCCTAACGATTTAAAAAATTTTGCAAACCAGCCAACATAGTGTTTGGGCTGAGCCCAAACTCATCCTATCAGTTTGATGCTGTCAGAGCAAATTCCATATCAATCATTGTTGTTCTACACCTTCCACATTGGGGATAAATCCCCATCTCTAACCTCTTATACTGTTCTTACCCAAAAAAAAAAAAAAGGAATTAAACCTCTTATGCTGTTGTTGGGAATTAAATCCCCTCTCTCCAAGCACATAGCATTAGTTGGGAATTTGACTCATATCAAGGTCAAGTGATAAGAAACATCACTACACAATTATGTAAATGGATTAAATAATAATGCAAAATAATAAAGAAAAAAGAACACTTAATTTAAAGTAAAAAACCCTCTTAAAAAGAGGACAATTCATTATTAAAAAAGAGTTAAAAAATTAAAATTTCAATCTCAATTTCTTGTAGGAATTCATAATCTCTTTTAAGAACCCCTTAATTTTGTATTTTCTCTCCTATGCCTAGAAGCTTTCAATAACCTCTAAGAAACTCTTATAATCATACATGTCTAAAAGGTCCTTTTCACTACTTTAATTGGATAGATGAATTTTGTCATCTCCATATCCAAAAAGAGTGAAGGCACCCTCTTTTATCATCACATCCCTTAGGAGTGGATTACTACAACACTAGCCTCTTGGTATTTCACTCTTTTACATTTATTTAATTATTTTTAATAACATATATTTATACCAGATTACAAATATGAATTTTGGCTGCTTAAAAATCTTAGCTACACTCTAAATTGAAATTCA